TGACTTTTATATCTGAAGTTATAAGGTAATTATTCCAAAGAGGGAAGAAATGCCCACCCCACGCAAGGGGCCCCTGGTTCACTCCATAGGGTTAAGATGCTTCGCCAAGTTTGACGTGCTACTTGACTTTGTCGCCACAACTTTGTAGCACTGTTTGCATAGAGGCTTATCGACATCCTTAGCCTTTCCATGCTCGTCTGCAGAATACTTCCAAACAACAATGTTGCGTTTTTTTTTTTTTACTAAAGCAGCTTGCGAAGTGCCTTCAACTGCAGCATATACCATGTTCAGCCAACTTGGTATGTATGTGTTAACCAGTGTGAATGCGTTCAGCGGCTGAGGGGAGGGGAGGGGCTGCGCAAGTGTGTGCATGTGTGCACGCTCATCTGTGCTGTAATGGTGCTATGTGAAGTTTGGCGAAAGAGGCGAAAACTGCACTGTTGGTATCAATAATGGTGAAAATTAGTATCTAATCAGATACTAATTTTTAATATCGATTAGTATCTGAGAATCAATTTTTTTGACAACCCCAGTGTCAGCGTCAGCTATATCTTCCGTTTCTGATCTTTCACGGTAGATTTTTAGCAGTACAGCTCAGTGAAAAAGGTCCCCCCTTAAATAGTTTCCAGCTGTGCCGCTTTCCGAACGTTGTGTAGATTACTAAAACCGGTATTGCGGTGTAAGAAAAATTTGTCATAACAATAAAAAACGTTTTTCAGTATGAACCGGTATACCGCCCAACACTACATCTGTGCTTCTCAACCTTATTGGCACCACGACCCTATTTCTACCATGAGAGCCCAGTTGTGACCGTATATCAAGAATAGATTTAAATTAATGCTATGATCAAGCACTCAGTGCACTTTGCAATTTATGCCAATCAATGCCTATCGCACAAATCTGATTAGTTGCGCCAGTGAATTTCAAATTAAGCATCTGTCGTTTGGCTTCTTGGATTGGTTGAGTGTTTGCAGATCTAAGACCCGTTTATATAACTTAATTCTACGATTGGGGCTGGGAAATCTGATCGTGGATCAGCATAGGAGCTTGCCAATTTAAAAATGCTTATGTTTCCAACTCTGCCTTGCGCTTGAAATAAATGATGCACCACCATGTTCATGTTAATTCCAAATACAGCTTTGATTATGATTATGACCACTGAAAAGGGATCCACAAAAATATACACATAAACACACACAGCTTTATATAAATCTGATAAAGCCAGTAAGGCATGATAGCTGACTCAAGTACCAAAGAAAGCAGCTTGCCTTCTGAGTCTAGGTCTTGCATAGTCAGTGTCTATTAGGCCATTAAAGGCAACAGGGAGTTTATAAAGAGACAATGACAAAGAACACTTAAACAATATGGTTATCATGCAAATGTACTGACACATACAACCCCCAGAACAAACTGTATGGCAAAGAATACTTGTCACAATCAAATAGTGAGAAAAACCATTTAGGCAGTTACTCTACTAACAGTACCTCCAGTTGCTATACAAGTTCACATTTAGCAAAATCAGAAAAAGTAAGACATATTTCAAGTTGATCAAAGATAGCTGAACAAAGACAATGCACCTGTATAACAAAACATTTTAAAATTAACCTTACTGTTTAAATAAAATTGCGTTAAAAATTTAGACTATGAAAACATTTAACCAAGTTCATTTTCCAGTAAAAGATCGCATAATTTGTTTGCTACTTGTGACAACTGCCACAACAGATTACTGAGGACTCTATAATTTCAATGAGGATCAGAACACAACTTATGCCCCAAAGCAGGCAAAATTACAAGTGGCACTTGCCAGGTTATGTATTAGGGTGTGCTCACACTAGGTGATCTGTACCGTGCCCGAGAACATTTGAGTAGTGTGATCGCTCTGCATCACTGTCAGGCTCACTTGCAGAGGTGGGTTGTGGAACGGTTCAGTTGGCCATGGGCACGGTATTCATAGTGTGATGGCTAACTGTGTCTGAGCATGGAACACAGATATGACTTCAATGATGCAACTGGCACATGCATGCACATATGTACACTATATGTGAACTGGACCTGGAACAAATAGATCAGGTAGGCTGTACAGTTTCGGGAGCGACAAATATTTAAACAATGTGTATGGCAAATGGATGCAACACCCAAAAACTTTGAGTGGTAGTAAAATACGGGACTTTCACATATGTGCAGCTGTGTTGCATACTCAATAAATCTATGAGGGCCATGTATCATCATGCCTAAGATGACTCCAAATAAACAACAAAATAAGGACAATAATCATGAAATCCACTGCACCATGCTGTCCAGACATTACATTGAGGTGTATGATATTTTAAAAAGCAGCACTATTCCAGCATTTTCAAATCTTGGCAATAACATTCACCAAACGGTTGGGGTCCAGCTAATTTTGTCATAAGGATTTCAAAATACTGTGGTATGCCTTATGACCGTAATACTGCCAGTGTTTAGACTAATAACATTTAAATTGTTCGTTTCACTACATTGCTTATATTTCTGTTTGTTGCAATACATCTGTCCTCTCCTGTATGCATGCACTGACCACAACCATCCGCAACCAAGTGTAGTATGAACACAAGCTGCCACGCAGGCGATCGTCCCCAGACTGAAAGCGCATTCAGAAAAGTGAAGAATTAACTAGGCTTTAGGTAGTGTCTAGGCAGTTCTCCATACCAGACAGAATCCTTGAGATTCACTACTGGAGAGGACAAGCAAATCATGAAATCTAGAATGGAAAGTGCACTTCAAGTCAGTACCAGGCAGCCACTTATATTTATTATATAAATAAATGCAAACAAATACATTTATTTAAAGATATTTCAGTAAAATTTAAATTTTGCACACAATTCCTAATTAATTCAAATAATTCCATTTAACTGCATTTAGAATACACCTCTGATATCAAGAGAATAAAGATTAATTTCCCAAGCCATGTTATATAGTGCTTTTAACAACAGTCATTGTCACAAAGCACTTTACATATAACTGGCCTGAACCCCCACCAAGCAAGCCTGAGGCGACAGTGGCAAGGAAAAACTCCCTCTAGCAGGAAGAAACCTTGAGAGGAACCTAGACTCGGAAGGGGACCCCATCCTCCTCTGGGCAACCGGGGGAGGACAAGTGGACTTGTGAAAGTTTTTTTGTTACATCTCCACAGTATAGTCCCAAAATGTAGACATTCTGTATGTTTGGAGACATTTGGCCAAAATTAAGATTCTCTAATTTATATTTTCAAAGAAATCTTGATCCAGTACTGCACTCGACACCATGCTTTATAAAACAACCTCAGCAAGGTGGCAGGTTTAATTTCAAAATTATGGGATATTAAACCTGAAGTGCAATACACATATAGTTAGTTGCAATGCATCATCTTTTGGGACATAAACCATCACCAAAAGGAATAACACCCCCTTGCTGCATCATACAAATTGTCTAGTTCGGACTGTGATTAAGAAAATTTTCCATGAACTAAAAAGAAAAATAAGGCTTTTAAAAGTCAATTTGTATATAGAGAAATCAGTCACTTACACACCAAACCGTATGATTAAAAAAAGGTCAGAAGATGAGTATATAATGGCAAGAGACCAGGGAATTTTCAGTAAACAAGTTTCAAGCTTTTTCTGAAAAATGACACTTCGGTAAGCTGACAGAGATAGACCCTGACCTACTTTACAGTGTACATAACAGATTACACCTTAAGACATTTTCAATTTACAGCAAGTCTAAGAACTAATTTAATATTAAAGTGCTAAACTGTCACTTTAACCAAATATGAATTCAGTCACAAAATGAACCAGCATTAATTACAAAAAAAATTCAACCCTGCTATCATAAAAACCTATGTACCGGAACTGAATTTAGAATAGATTCACAAAAATGACTCGGGTGTTATATTTTGCCTTATCTGGCAGGTAACATAAGAAATTATTTTTGTTTAATCCCATGAAGGTAAGAGATGAATATGTTTAGTTCCATGATCGATACTCGTGATCATGGGCTCGTTTGTTAATGTAATACCCATAAATGAACATGAAATTGGCATGTGTGGATCCACTCGCGGCCCTGCAGACGTAGGCAGTAACGGCCTTCCCTGGATGCTGAAACATGTGTACTGTGGATTTTATTTCGGATGCACAGATCCCCACAATGAAAATGCAAGCTACCAACGTCTTTACAGATAATTCCAAGGACATCAGGGACAAACAGTTGTGTGGGGCTACTTCACAACGTCTATGCAATAGACCGCTGTTTATAATTAATCAATCAATTAATTAATTGCGATTTGGTGTTTTTGGGAAGATGACAATAAGAGCGGAGTAAACACAGGAGGCGTGAAGTTAACAAATCGGCTCCTCCTTATTTGAAAGTTAGAGTTGAGCAACAAAACCTGCCATTTCCCAGCTAATGCAGAAATTGTAGGGATTAACACCGAGAAACTGAAACGGGATCTAATGCCACATTGTTCTCCCCCGCAAAAATCAACCTCTTCTCCCCCACATCGATCGCCCATCACCGTGCTAACCTAAAACAGACACGGGCCGACGCCATATTGACGGAGCAAAATGGCTGCTGGGAACATTAGCTAACAGTTACCCAGCTAGCTACAAGCTGCTCCGTCCACCTCTACCTTCCCATTGACTGCAGGATGATAACAGCGGGAAAGGCATATTAGTAAGAAGGGCACAAGGCCATTGAAACTCCAAGGTAAGAAGGGGCAGCTTCGCTGCTCTTCGCCGGCTAATGAAGCTGGGTATCCGGCTAGATGGACAACAGCCGTAACTATCAACCATGCCTTTTATAAAGGGGCGTTACTACACGAAGCAGTAACAACTTGCTACAGTAACACAGTTAGCTACATAACCAGTGTGCGATGTTACTTAACGGACATGACAGCCGCCGGAAAGCGAGCTGTTCTGTACCTGCAGTTCGGCTCTCTCCACTTCCCAGTGCGCCCTCTCCATCTCAAAGCGGGCCCATTCGTGCTGGATGTAGTGTAGGATACCCGGGATAGTGTACTGCTGCGGTCGAGGCATATCGTCCTGCTGCTGCACCATCGCGGTACCGCCTCCGGCCCCAGTTTGGGGAACAACGTTATTATTGCCTTGCTGTGCTGTCTGCTGCGCTCTCGGAGCGGCCATTCCTACTCCTCCAGGGTGTTCATCCATTTTAAATGTGGGCAAACACAAGCTGCTATCGCAACCCTGTTTTCGCACAACTCCCTTTTATCACCTCTTCAAGTATGTCTTAACACGTGTATCTCTCCTTTTTGTTTTTCAAGCGCCCTCACTTATATAGTATCGTAGGTTATGCTGTACTACGCCTTGTAGATTTGGTATCAAAGCAGCACGGACTTCCCGGCCGCCATTAGTTCTTTCCCTGGATGTGAGTCTCCTCGCTGCAGGGGTGAGAGAGAAGGGGCGCGCGTTGCATGCTGGGATACGCTCGCCCCGTGCGTTTGCCATAGTTCGTCCAAATAAAGTCCTATGCAAACATGGAGCATGCGTTAGTGCGTGATGCAAAGCAGAAAAAAACACATGGGTACTGCGGTACACAACAGGGAAAAACAACGTGACCGGGATTAACAAAAATTAGGCGTGTCTAATAATACTGATCAACCGGGAATAACAAAATGACAAATGCTGAATCGCATTGTGACTATAACTGGGGCTTCTTGAAGTAAAAGTAAATTATATCAAAAATCAGAACTTTGGGGAAAATAGCCACAAAACCCAAAAGGCTTACGTTTAATTATGTACATTAATATTATACAAGACTGCTGAGATTTCTTTCACCTGCGGCTCATCTTAAGTCAAGTAGTGAAGGTATTTTAGTAAAACCGAACACAGATGGGCAGATATTAGCTATGTTGAGGCTGATCAGTAATTGTATTGCCCGAGGTTGCGATACATATAATTTTGGAAGATCCGCAGACGCTTTCGCCTTAACGCAATAACTAAAAATGTCTTCGACAGATCTTTTCAAACACTGTAGGCACAATGTCTAAATCAGGGGTCTCATCCTCCAGTCCTGGGGGGCCGGAGCCCTACACAGTTTTTGGTTCACCCTCATTTAACACAACTAATTCAACTCCTTGTGCTAATTACCACACATCTATTGAGCTGAATCATTTGTGGTGGAACAGGGAAAGAACTAAGCTACACAATGCTCCGGCCCCCCAAGAATGGAGTTTGAGACCCCTGGTCTAAATGATGAAATGGAACTGATGAAATTTTGAGATAGATCGCTCCAAAATTTAAGCAACTGCGCTGAGTGGCAGCAAAGGGAAGGGTGAAAGCAGATGACATTCCATCTTGTGAATGTCATAAAATGAAAAAATATTTCATGAATTGTATTCCTGCTTCACAAATACATTATATGGATACAGATCTACACCTGATTTCATTTTGAGACAAAATGCCCAAAAAATAAAGCAGGTGCATTGTATGGCAGCAATTAAAGTAAAGGACAGTGGTAGAAGACAGAATCTTGTGAACACAGTAACACTGAAAGTATGTTTGGACCTTTTTCAAACTTTTCAGACATTTTATAAGTAACAAAATGGAAATGATAAAATATTGAGAGAGATCACCCAAAAATGGAAGCACTGCTACATTGCGGTAGGAAAAAAGAGGAGTTTCAGACACTCGGTCCCGTGATAAGTTTAGCAAATTGAAACAACAGCACTTAGTGACAACCAAGGCAAGGGTGACTTTGATAAGGCACTTGACCCTGTAATAGGATAACTCTATTAGATATTATTGTTCTGTTAACTCTATTTGATCTTTGGACCTTATTACCACTTTACAAAAACATTATATGCATGAAATTCTACACCTAATAGACCCCAAAATCACCCCAAAACTGAAACAACAGCGATAGAAGGCAGCAGAGGCCAAAAGCAGTGGCTGCAGCTCTCATCTTGTGAAAACAGCCATCTGGCATCTAAACATATTCCCCAGGGAGGCATCGTCCAGGAGGCAGCCTAGATAAATGCTTGAACCACCTCAACTGGCTTCTGTTGACATGGAGGAGCAGCAGCTCTACTTTGAGCCCCCTCAAATATCTGAGCTCCTCATCCTATCTCTAAGGCTGAACCCAGCCACCCTCCAGAGGAAACTCATTTTGGCCGCTTGTGTCCACAATCTTATTCTTTCGGTCACTACCCAGAGCTCATGGAGGAAACTCATTTCAGCCACTTGTATCTGCAATCTCATTCTTTCAATCACTGTCCAGCTCAGCTTCCTCTTCACCAAAATGGAACAGTGCAGCATCCACATTATTGTTGACGCTGCCCTGATCCATCCGTCGATCTCCCGCTCCCATCTTCCCTCACTCATGTACAAGACCCTGAGATACAGACTCCTCCACTTGAGGCAGCAACTTATCCCCCACCAAGAGAGAACAATCCACCCTTTTCCAGTCAAGAACCATGGCCTCAGACATGCTGCAGGTCACAGCCCGATGACGCTAACAAGACCACATCATCTGCAAAAAGCAAAGCTGCGATCCTACAAGCCCCAGAAATCGGACCCCTTCCGCCTCATGGCTACGACTAGAAACTCTGTACATAAAAGTTATGAACAGAATCAGTGACATAGGGCAGCCCTGGTGGAGTCCAACACCCACTGCATAGGAACGACTGTGACTTACTGCTGGTAATGTGAACCAAACTCTCACTCCATCTGTACAGGGATCTGAGGGCCTGCAACAAAGAACCCTGTACCCCATTCTCCCGGAGCACCTCCCCTGGACCTCCCGATGGACACGATCATATGCCTTTTCAAAGTCCACAAAACACATGCAGACTGGTTGGGCAAACTCCCATGTACCTTTCAGTATCCTTGTGAGGGTGAAGAGATGGTCCAGTGTTCCGCTACCAGGACTGAATCTGCATTGTTCCTTCTGGATCTGAGGTTCAACCAATGGGTGGACCTTCCTCTCCAGTTCCCGGCATAGATCTTCCCTGGGAGGCTGAGGAGTGTGATCCCCCTAAAGTTGGAACACAGCCTCTGGTCCCCTTTCTTACAGATTGGGACCACCACCCCAGTCTGCCAATCCAAAGGCACTGTCCCTTTTGCTCTCTCTTTTGCTTTCTCTGGTCCATATTCAGTGTGGTGCACACAATGACGACAAACAACACAGTAGTTTGTTCTTTCCCTTGAAATAGGCTGAATGGCTAATGAAAAGCTTGAAGGCACCTGTGATACTAATTAAGGTTAAACACATAGTTTGAAACATGATTATAATGTAAGGATAAATAGTCTCTTTAGGGGTACCAACAAATCTGCTCATAATACTTCAGCATAACTTTGCAAAATAAACAACAAATAATTTATTTTCACAATTTTATTAGACAATTGCTTTTAATTGAATCACTTTTCAGGAGAAATGAAGCATTGTTTCAATGAACTGTAAGGGTACCAACAAATTTGTCCACATCTGTAAATGGAGTGTGTAATAAATAAATAAAATTCTAGAAATTGTCGGTGAGTGTGTTACAAATACAGATTAGGTGGGTAGAGCAAGTGATGGGGTTGTCCACGGAATACAGTGCTGTGGTTTCTGACAGCACAGATTCTGGTTTTTGGGGCAGTTTGTTTGAAAATGAAGCCAGGTGTAGATCTTCATCCATATTATGTTTTTGTGAAGCAGTAATAAGATACATCAAATACTTTTTGACCACATTCACAAGGCCAAATGATGTCTGCTTTTACTGGTCCTTTTGCCACCACTAAGCGGTGTTGCTCCAATTTTGATGTGATCTGTCTTTTTGAGTTATCTTAAAATCAAGTGTCAAAACACTTTTTTGTTATCACTGCAAGGCACTGTTTCAGTTTTGGGGCGATCTATCTCAAAATGTAATCAGGTACATTTTGTCACCCATGCAATGTCTTAGCATAAGAAATAGAATCATGTTTTGGCAAACTGCTTATCTTTATTTATTAAATGCTAACTAAATTTTTATATAGGGGGAAAACTCTGCTATTTGACAATGATCAAGTTTCTGCTGATGGTCAACAAACAAGGGCAGACTCGACTGTCCAAATACTACGAGGACATAGACATGGCCAAGAGGGCTTCTTTAGAGGTGGATGTCATCAAGAGCTGCCTTTCACGAAGAAAAGATGAGGTAGGCAGAAACTGAAGCTACATCTATGATTTATGAAGTACTACTTCACACATGTCCTCCTTTGATTAGCTTTGGGGAGTAAATGGAGTAAGGTTCAGAAGCTACAGAGGTCACTGATTTGGTTTTGAAGCAGAAATGACTGATCTAGCTATGATAGCCATTCCTCCCTCACTCCAACACTCAATCTATGAGACAGTAACATAACATTTGGTAGAGTCTGTTTCTTTAAGTTTTCTATATTGCAAGTATGTTTTCCTTATGTTTGTATAGATTTCTTCAGCATGCATTTTCCTTTTTCCTTCCACAATCCAAAGGTCATGCTAGTTAATGAATGTGATTAATATGTAAGGATATGCAAGATTCATGGCCTGAGATGTCTTCTCATTCCCTTGCAGTGCTCTTTTGTGGAATACAAGGACTATAAGCTAGTATATCGCCAATATGCTGCCCTCTTCATTGTTGTCGGGGTCAGTGACACTGAGGTAAGTCCATTTGACCTTCTCACCAGAGATGTTCACGAGTCACAAAATTAAAGTCCGAGTCAAGTCTCAACCGTGGTTCCAGTTTGATGTTACTAATTATCAAAAATGTAACTGCCAATATGTTTTTTGGCTATTAGTAACTGATGCATCTAATTGGGAAAAACAGTTCAAAAACTCCCTGCCTCATAGTACCTTAGGCTTATATACATTTTCAAAGTAATTATTTCAAATGCATTTGAAGCAATATTTTTGTAAAAACCTAAGCACTTTTATAATGTATATTTTCATAAAAATAACATTATGAAGAAGATATCCCTTTCAGTACATTTTGGCATAAATTCCTGACCTGGACCATTCGCGCATGCACAAATTGCTGTGCCAAAACCATGTCAGACTGGCCCTGCTCTGCAGCCAGACCAAACAATTCTAGACTCCTCTCTGAACTACAATAAAGTGATGTGATTGGCTAATGAACGAGCATAACCCAGACCTCGTTTGTCTTGCTGCTACAATACAGTAGCAGTTTTACTGTAAAGTTTACAGTAAATCAAGATTTTGAGTTTTATACATAGTTTTAAAGCAACAGCTCCAATTAATGGATAAAATCGATTTGTCACTCGTGTGTGCAATTAAATAAATGATTATGTAAGTAAAACCTCGAACTGCATGTTAAGAAGTTCAAGTAATGTGTGCAGTCGTGCTGCGCTTTTAGTTATCGGACAGCTAAGTTGTAAGAAAATAGCTTGGCTTGGAAGGGAATGTCAGAAACGGAAACGTGTTTTGAGAAATATCTGCTAATTTATCAGATTTATGGCAATCTACGCCGATTTGTGTCACTGTATACCATCTCAATGTATATAGCCTATAATTTACGACACTGGTTAAGCAATGCCTGTTTCTAAGCAGTGGTTTTTAATGTAAAATAAAACTCGGAATATCCTAGGTTTATTAGATCGGATCTACAATTTGTACTAGTGGCAAAACAGAAAAAACATGTTTGTTGATTTCGCCTGACATCACACTTCTCCGGTTCCAGTTGCTATGCTCTGTGCATAGCCGAACATCCTGATGTGTTTAACGCCTTTTCGGTTTGGAAAAGGCGTTAAACGTGTAGAAATTTCAACTTCTTGTTCGCTAGTCGCTATCAACGAGTAGGAGTCGAGTTCAAATAAAAAAAAAAAACTGGAAGCAATTTAAAAGCGACTCCAGTCCCCATCTCTGCACCTCATCGACTTAATTTTCCTCATGTCTGCAACAAATGAACTTTCTTCTGTTGATTCTATATATATATATTAGTGCTGTCAAACGATAAAAATTTTTAATCGGATTAATCACAGGGTTACTGTGGATTAATTTCGATTAATCACGATTAAATATCATTAATTTTTAATCTATATTAATCACATTTCATTTTGCATGAGCGAATAGACTTAAGAAAAAAGGGAATATATATGCACTTAACATGTGTATTGAACATCTTGAACACGAATCGAATGCATTCCATCTGCCACAGAAGTGCAATACCATGGACCCATATCAAAAAGCAAGTTTTTTTGCTTAGTCGGACAGCTTGTCGGATTTAAGATACCTCAGTTTAAATGGTCTTTATCTTCGTTCACTTACAATTAGCCCGAACTACCGTAAATCCGACTAACCATGAAATGCAATTCTAACCCAGTTAACTGCCATTGTTAGCAATATCAGTTGATAACACATTACGCACAGTATTTTACGTATAAACTCCGTAGCAACACGTCCACAGATAAGTTGGACGGTATAGTGTGTGCAACCGATTTAATGAGCCACAAATGAGAAGTAGTGCTTAAACAGTAAAAAACTACAACTTTCCCTTCTGTTGATAAAAGGCGCAGCCATCTTGGATTCTGAACTCAGGATCCTCTGTGCTGCTCCGAGATATTTCTCGGATCTCCGAGAAACGGGAGCGCGCATGCCGTCACTTCCGGCTTCAAAACTTGGAATACGAGTTCCCAGGGAAATGGAACGCACCAAAACTGCCCGAAATAGGTTAACAAAGACATTTCAGGGATTTTGAGTCATTATGCGCTGCAAATGGGTTAATTGCATTAAAAATTTAAATCAGATTAATCATGATGATGGATTAATCCGCGTTAACCTGTTAATTTTGACAGCCCTAATATATATATATATAGAATCCTCCTTTATCCGGGCTTGGGACCGGCAAGGTGACCCCAAAGAGACTGGTGGAGTTACTTTTCTGACTAAAAACCAGGGCGGTATCAGCCAGCGGCGGATTCGCGCATGCGCGACTCATTTTCAGTCTGGATGCGGAGGGGTGAACATCTGCTGCTCTAACTGCAGCTGAGCGGGGCTGCTGTGCAAGGACTGGCCGCCTGTGAGTGCTTTGGGACTGTAGAGGAACCCACGACAGCACCCGCTGCTCGGTGAGAACAGTAAGAACCATACGTGTTTTCACGTCAGAGTCTCCAAAAGTCTCCAGTAGCACCAGAAAAAGTCGATACATTTTGTCGCTTGTCGCTTTTTAAAAAACGAGTCGCTAGAGGGGTCTAAAACTCGCTAAATATAGCGACAAAGTCGTTAAGTAGGCAACACTGTTCCCAACCCAGTCAGTACAAGTACCAGAGGTGTGACCAGAGCATAAGAACATAAGAACATAAGAAATTTACAAACGAGAGGAGGCCATTCGGCCCATCAAGCTCATTTGGGGAGAACTTAGCTAATAGCT